AAGTCTTTGTTTGTTTTTAATTAAATCAAATTCCATGCCTTACAACATCTATTATTCATCCTGATTGGTTTTGATTGGTCTCTCCCCCACCCCCTTACAAAGCAACTTAATGCCTTTGGTAATTGAAGTAAAATAAATTTTAGAACAGCAACAAAAAAAAACACAACGTCCAGAATTAATAAAAAGAAAACAAAGAAAAATTGAACTTAAAGCAAACAGACGAGGAAAGCCGCACACTATTTTACTCTTCAAACCAACCACTCTGCAACAAAAGAGGAGAGGATGGCAGCAAAAAATACCTTAACACAATGGACGACATTGAATGTTCTTCGTACATATGGTCACACAACACTACTGGAGCTGGAGTACCTCTCTACCTCCAGACACTCTAAAGCATTGCATTGAAGAACCTAAACCACAACAAGGATACATTGAAGCAAAGTAGTTGATGTCGTTCACAACGGAGGAATCCTTTCGCACAATTGTTCTCTTTGTAGGTGGGTTTGAGGAACCCCTACGAACAATAGTTTTTCATTGTGGGTAAGGGGGTTCTGGGTATGAGGGGCAAGTGGCCATGCAGTGTGAGTGTGAATTTGCTATCCTTCGTTGCAATCAAAACAATGTAAAAGTGACAGAAAACCTTTTGTACACAACAAACTTCGGTGTGTGTTGGTCTCTGTGAGAAAGATGTAGATTTTCCATATGAGATATGGCGTGTTTTATGGGCATATGACTTTCTTAGCCAAGATGAATGGTTATTGGATTTTCAACTATTGGAGTAAATCGCATTTAGATAAGAGAAATTTAAAATCGTTCAAGGGATTTTAAGGAAGGACAAAAAATTCTCTTCTTTCAGGATTTTTCTTAAAGAATAGTGAGAGATCTTCTAATTGAAGGAGAGGCGGCGAAATATCAGTATATAGTTTTTGTAGACAGAAAACCTTTTCCTAATCTCTTGAAGACCTCCTGAAGAGCAAAGGATTTTTTTGTGGTCTTCTCCAAAGATGTTTTCTTGGGGTCTTTTTAAATTGAAATCTTGAGGTCTTCTGAAAACTTCTGTTCTGAACAGAGTCACTGTGTGTGGAAGACATTTTCGAGGTCTTCTATGTATAGAATGGCCTCTAAAGTCTTGCATTTGTAAGAAACACTTTCAAGGGCCTTTTGACTGAAAATTTTGGATCTTAGTAGGAATTTTCATGGACAAAAAATTGCAGATTTTTAGAATATTTTTAAAATGGCTTTCTTTTGGTTTGATTTGTTAAAAAACAACATTCATGGAAATTTTTGACTTAAAATCTGGGACATTTAAAGAGAATGTTTCATTTATAAAGCACCTTAACAAAGGCCTTCAGACCAAAAATCATGAATTTTTTGAAGAAAATGTTTCAAGGACTTTGTGACGGAAAAACTAGGGTTAAAAATCAAATTTTATAGAAAATCGTGAATTTTGAAGATTTTTTAAAATACCTTATAACGGAAAATCCTGAATTTTGAAGAATGTTTTAAAGACGTTTTGAACGAAAGTCGTAGATTTTTTCAGGAAACCTTTTAATAACTTTTTGACCAACAAATCGACGATTTTTTAAAGAACTTTCTTCAAGCACCAACAATAGGATTTTGAAATTTTTAAAATTTTAAAGTTTTAGTTCAAAATTAGAAATTTTCAGTTTTTGTTGGATTTTTAAGAATATTTTATATTTAAGAAATTTGTTTCGAGGGCATTCTGAGCGAAAATCTGGGATTTAAGAAAGCCATATTTTGATAGAAAATCATAAATTTTGAAGATTTTTTTAATGTCTTGTAACAAAAAATCTTAGATTTTGAAGAATCTTTTAAAGACGTTTCGAACAAAAATCGTGGATTTTTACAAAAATATAAAAAAACGAAAAGTCTAGAGCTTTGAGAATTTTTTCAAGGACCTACTGATCAAAAATAGTGGATTGTTTTAAGAAACTTTTTTGAGGACCTACTAACCAAGAGAAGTGATTTTTTAAGAAACTTTTTTTCGAATGAATAAACGCCATGAATTAAAAAAATCATGGACTTTCTAACAAAAAATCGTGTATATTTTTTAGAACTTTTTTGAGAACACTCTTTTTTCTTGCTGACCAGATCCAAAATCCACCATTTTTTTTTAAACTTCTCTAAGGTATTTTCTTTAAGTTATAAACCTTTTTAAATTCTTTTATAGGTAGGTGACAAATTCATGCTATATACCTAATAGTTATATGCCTCTGATATTTCTCTAAGTATTTTTAAAAACAATTACCAGGACTGAGTTAATCCCTGAAAATATTCATCAAAATTCACGTTCTAGTCCTTCATAAAATATACACTTCTCCAAGCCGTTTTATGGCCCAGATTACTCTTGAAAAATTTTCCAAAAATACACGTTTTGTCGATCTGAAAGTTCTTGAAAAATTATTCTTTATAATTCACGATTTATGTCTGTGATTTTCCCCAAAAATGTATTCTTAAAACTCCACATTTAATGGCCCTGATAATTCTCGAAAAAGTGTTTTGAAGTCCAAGTTTCATGGCTTTGATAGTCCTTATGAAATTATCTAGAAAACCACGTTGAGTGTCTTCAATAGTTCTCGAAAACTCCGCTTTCCTTGGTATCGATAGCCCCTGAAAAATGTTCTTAAAAATTCACCTTTTAAAGGTCGTATAGGCTTTGAATAAATATTCCTAAAAATGCCTGTTTCATGGTCCTGATAGTCGTTGAAAAAATATTCTTCAAAATTCATGTTTTAAGGCCCAAAAATATTTTCTAGACAGAAATCTTTCTCAAAGTCTCAAAATCATAAGACTTTAAAGACCTACTAGAATTCTTCTTTATGTAGAAGACTCTCTTGTGTTCACCTCTCAGGAATTCTCACTCTGAGCCACATTTCATGACTCTGAAAGTCCTTAAAAATATTCTTCAAAATCAACGTTTTACGATATTCCTTGAAAAATATTCCAAGAAATCCACGTGTTCTGGCTCTAATAGGTCCTGAAAATTATTCCAAGAAATCCACGTGTTCTGGCTCTGATAGGTCCTGAAAATTATTCCAAAAAAAAACACTTTTTAAAGCTTTGATATGCCCTAAAAATATTCTTAAAAAAGCACGTTTTGTGGTCGGTCACCTTCAAGAAATAACCACAATATACCCTTTTATAGTTCATAAAAAAAAATTAACAAAAAACCAAGTTTAAGTCCCTGAAAAAATCCAAAAAATCAAGATTTATGCCCATGAAAAATCCATGTTCTATGGTTTTAGTAGGTCCTGAAAAATATTTCACAAAATCCACATTCTATGACATTGCTAGTCCTTGGAAACAATTTCTTAAAAATCCACATTAGATGACTTAAGGAGTTCTTAAAAAGGGCCTTAAAATCCATGTTTCAGAGATCTGATCGTCCTTGGAAAAATATTTTTAAAAATTTCCGAATTACGCCTCTGATAGTCCCTGAAATAGATTTCTGAAAAATCCAAATTTCATGGCTCTGTTAGTCCTTGCCGATATATTCCACAAAATCCACGTTCTATAGCTGTGATAAACTCTGAAAATGTATTCTCCAAAATCCTTGAGAAAAATATTCGTACAAATTCATGTTTCGAAGCTCTGATAGTCCTTGGTAAAATATTCTTTAAAGTCCACGTTTTAGTGTTCAGATGTCCTTAAAAAAATCTGGTAGTCCTCAAAATAATATTCTTAAAACTCCATGTTTAAAAGCTCTGATAGTGTTTCGTAAAATATTCTAAAACATCCACATTCTAAAGCTCCGATAGTCCTTAGCAAAATATTCAAAAATAAATCACGTTTCAAAGCTCTGATAGTCCTTAGTAAAATATTCTAAAAAATCCACGTTTCAAAGCTCTGATAGTCGTCAAAATAAAATTCTTAAAAATTCACGTTTCGAAGCTCTGATAGTCCTCAATATAATATTCTTAAAAATCCACGTTTCAAAACTCTGATAGACCTTAAAATACTGTTCTTAAAAATTCACGTTTAAAAGCTCTTATAGTCGTGATTGTACTTCGAAAAATATTCTTAAAAATCCACGTTCTAAAGCTGCGATAGTCCTTGGTAAAATATCCTTAAAAATCCACGTTCTAAAGCTCCGATAGTCCTTAGCAAAATATTCTTAAAAATCCATGTTTCAAAGCTCTGATAGTCCTTTGTAAAATATTCTAAAAAATCTACGTTTCAAAGCTCTGATAGTCATCAAAATAATATTCGTAAAAATCAACGTTTCAAAGCTCTGATAGTCCTCAAAATAATATTCGTAAAAATCCACGTTTCAAAGCTCTGATAGTCCTCAAATTAATATTCTTAAAAATCCACGTTTCAGAGTTCTGTAAGTCCTTGTTAACATATTCTTAAAAATCTACGATTCATGGCACTGATAGTTCTCAAAAAAATTATTCTTAAAAGTCTACGTTTTACTACTCAGATGTCCTTAAAAAGCACGGGTCCCAGAGCCGCCATTGCTTACGTTCTTGTATTTCAGGTCTTCCAACGACTGAAACTCCTCTCGTGATCTTCAGTATGGAGAAATATCCAAAAAAAAAAACAGGAGGAAATCCGAACCTCTTGTTAAAGCACAGCCTCTGGCTAGAGTCGTCTGCCTCCATTATTTGGGTTCGGGCCCCCACTTCCGTACTTCTAATTGTAATATTCCCTCATCCCTCAGCCAAATCCTTCTGGAACACCTCGTATCCTACTTGCATGCCTGCATGTAGTTCATTTTAAAAATAAATGAGCGTTTATACTTCTCGAGCAACATCAATGAATAGAATGCAACCGCAACCAATATCCCCAACAGCAACTTCCACCATACCGCCCCATACCTAAAGTAAATGTATAACCCTGTCGATATCATTGTACCACTATCAGTGCCGGGGGAGTGATTGATGTACCTCATAAAAAAGATAAATGGATAAGGGATTGTGAAAATAAAAGAGGGAAAGGGGGATTGGGAAGTAGGGCCTCACTTAACATTTACTTACGTGAACTATCATATTGTATACCCTGGAATTCATCGAGACACGGCAGGGCTGCCAGTGTGGCCCGTGGTGTACGTGGCCAACACAGTATTGAATCGAAATTTGTTAGGCAATAGCCACTCGCATTGCCAAAGGTCGTTGTATCGGTGTGTTCCTGCAGCAGACACTGTAGCTCGGCACTTTGATTGATCTCATCGAATTCGGCCGATGATAAATGTAGTTCCGTGGTTAGGGTTAAATCATCGACAGCCGGTGACGGAGCCGAAGCCGAAGCAACAGCAGCTCGAGTGTCACTCGAAGCCACCATCCTTTGCAGAGGATTGGCATTCTGATGCAGCCGTGTTTGACCGGCAATGGTCATTGTGGCCATGTCGGCCGTTGTTTGTAATGAATTGTTGTTGTCATTCATTGTTTGTTTTTGTTTTCGTTTTTTTTTTTCTTTTTTTTGGTTATTTCGTCGTCTATGGAATTGTGTCGTGGTATTTGTATTGTGGCCTCGTAGGCAAATAAATGGTTTAAAGTGTCGATATTTGAAATGCCACCGTTTCGTTGGGTACCAGTTGCAGTGTCGATGATGGTGACAGACTTGTCATTGTGGGCGAGTGACTCAAAACCATTGAATGCCAATTCTTTGCGTGTGGGAGTATTCGTTGTAAGTGTTGCATGTTCAGTGTGTTGTGTTGTTGTTGTTGTTCGTTTTTATCGGTGGTTTTCTGTTACTGCCTGGGGAATCTGCAAGGAAAGGGAAATGAATTAACGAATGTTTTCACTTGACTCAACAATGATATTTAATATTTTTTGAAATATTACAAAGCAATATACAAAAATCTTCTTCAAAGGAAAAGAGACAAAAAAAAAGGTTTTTCTCCGAAGGTGTGGAGTGTGTATTCATTTGTAATAAATACTATAGGACATCCAAGTTTCATGGCTCTGAAAAAATATTCATATAAATCAATGTTCCTTGGACTTTATTCTTAAAAAAAAAAACGAAATTTCATGAAGGGACTTGAACATTTTTCTTCAAAATTCAAGTTTCATGGCTCTGATATTTCTCCCAAATATTTCTAAAAAATTCACGTTCGATGGACTATGTCCCTGCAGAAATATACTTAAAATCCACCTGCGATTATTCTAACAATCCTTAGACATTCTTCTTTAAAAATCCATAGCTTTTCTAGCTCTGATAGACCTTAAAAAATATTGTTAAAATTCTCGTTTCATGACCCTGATAATGGCACCAAACATTCCTAAAAATACAAGTTCGACAGTTCTTATAGACATAAATATTTTTAAAGATTTTGTACTTGAAATAATATTCTTAAAAATCCGAAACCTATCACTTTGATAGATTTGATAGATCCAAATTTCATGGATCTGAATTCGTTAAAAGTAAGCCTTTAAAAATATTCCAAAAATCCCCGTTTTATGGCTCTGATAGGCCCAGACCCGATTCATGCCTCTCATAGTAAATATTCTATATAATCTAGTTCTATGGCTCTGATCGTCTTTGAAAAAATATTTGCAATAATCCACGTTTTGTGACTTTGAAAAAACGTTCCTAAAAATCTAAGTCTTTGGCTGCAATAGTCTTCGAAAAATATTCCTAAAAATCAACTTTCGAGGTGTAGATTGGTCCTTGGAAACTAAAAAATATATTCTTAAAAATTCACGCTTCATGGCTCTGATTGTCCTCAAAAAGAAATTTACAACAATCTTAGTCTTGTGGCTTTGATAATCCTTGAAAAAATTTTCTTAAAAATTCCAAGTTCCATGGCTTCGATAGACTCAAAATCAACATGGATGACTCGGATAGTCCTTGGAAACTTTTCTTAAAAATTCACATTTCATGGCTTTGAAAGTCCTTAAAAATATACTTAAAAATCAACGTTTTGTGATAGTTCTGGATAGATATTTCAAAAGATCCACTTTTTATGAAAAATATTTCTAAAAATCGACGTTAATAGTATTAAAATAAAAATTACTTTATAATTTCCGATTTATGGTTCTGATGTCTTTGAAAAAAAAGTCATTGGAAAAAATTCCACTTTTTTGGCTATGACATTTTTTCCCTAAAATCAAAGTCCATGGCTGCAATAGTCTCCGGAAAATATTCTTAAAATCAATTTTCGATAGCTACGATAGTCCTTAAAAACTTTTATTAAAAAAAAATAACATTTGATTTAATATCTTAAAAATTAACGTTAAAATACTTAAAATACAGTGCGAGATGAAAAAACTGCAACCAACTTCAGACTGCTGTCATTTCTAAGCCTCTCGTCCGACAGCTGTTGAAATTATTCCAAAGATAGCTCATTATATTGTTTACAAGCGTACAAAAACATTTTGGTGAGAATTTCCCAGAAAAAAAATATTCGTGATGGAATTCAAGCTGGATAGCGTGATTTCTTTATATTTGGCTGGAAAACCACAAGTGGTTATCGTTAGAGCACTCCAGCATTTAAATGTGAATTACCGTGATACTGGTAGCGTAGCCCGGCGTCAAGGAAGTGGACGGAAGAAAACCGCCACATCAGCAGAAATGGTTCGAAAAGTAAAGAAGCGGCTTGATCGAAACCCTCGTCTCAATGTCCGAAAAATGGCTCGTTAGGTGAACATATTGCAATTTTCCATTCGGAAAATATTGAAAAATGAGCTTGGGGTAAAGCCATTGAAATTCCAAAAAGTAAAATAACTTACACCGCAACAAAAAGAAAATAGACGCAAAAGAGCTAAAGAGTTGCTTCGCTTAGCCGAAAGTGGTGAACTGCCGAATTCGGTTTTCTCCGATGAGAAAACATTCGTTGTCCAGCAGTTTGTAAACAAACACAATGATCGTGTTTACTTGCCAAAGAGGTCAGCCGAAAATGTGCACCTTCGGTTGGCCAACACCAGAACTCAAGCGCCGGCCATGGTGATGGTGTGGGCCGCCATAACAGCCGATGGTCGCTCTCCGCTCGTATTAATCGACCATGGCATCAGAATAAATGCCGAATATTATCGCGAAAATATTCTGGAGGGTGTATTGAAGCCTTGGGCACGCAAACATTTTCACATTCCAACAGGACTCAGCACCATCGCACTCGGCATGCGCCAGCCAGGAATGGTTACAAAATAAGGTTTATCGCTTCAATTCCAGCGCACAATGGCCACCAAAATCACCGGATACCAATCCGATGGACTATTGTGTCTGGAGTATTTTGGGAAGCAAGGTTCGCACTAAAAAATACCAAAGTGTCGATAACCTCAAGCAAGCGCTTCCGGGAATGGGCCAATATACCGCAGAGCAACATTTGGCTGCGTCTGACGGTTTCATTGGCCGTTTGAAGGCCATAATTCATGCCAAAAGTGACGAATTCAAACAAATCTAAACTTATTCTAAAATTTGATGCTTTGATGATTTGAATATTTCCGACATTTTTTGCTTTCATTCAATAAAATTTAAAAAAATGTAAAAATTATGGCGTTTAACTTTGTTGCAATTTTTTATCTCACCCTGTATATTCTCTTTTTATGGCTCTGATAGGTCCAGAAAAATATTCTTAAAATCTACCTTATGTGTATAATATATTGTGTATAATATTCTTTAAAATTCCCGATTTATTTCTCTGATTCCCTTAAAAAAAATCTTAAAAATCCACTGTTGATGGCTCTTAAGTTGTTGAAAAAAATATTTGTAAAAATTTACGTTTTGTGGCATTGATAGTCCTTGAAAAAATATTCCTACAAGTCAAAGTTATATAGTTCAGATAAAACTAACGTCCGATGATATTTAAGGTCTTTGGAAACTTTTCTTTAAAAAAAAATACCATTTATGCCTATCATAGTCCTTTAAAACTATTCTTTAACATTTAATTTTTATGGGTCTGATGTATTTGAAAAAAAAAGATTATTTAAAATTTACGATTCATGACTCTGATTGTCCTTGAAAAAATATTTGCAAAAATGTACGTCTTGTGGTTGTGATAATCCTTGAAAAAAAATCTAAGTTCCATGGCTCCGATAGTCTCCGAAAAAATATTTTACAAAATCAATGTTTGATTTCTCAAATAGCCTTTGGAAACTTTTCTTGAAAAAATCTACGTTTCGTGGCTCTTAAAGTCCTTAACAAATATTGTTATTTTATACCTCCAACAGTACTTGAAAAATATTCTCTAAAATCAACGTTCAATGGCTCAGAAAGACCTTGGAAAATTTTATAAAAAAGTTAACATTCCATGACTCTGATAGTCTTTCAAAATATTCTTCAAAATTAACGTTATATAATAGTCCTTGAAAATATTCCAAAATATTTTTATGGCTCTGATAGACCCTGAAAAGTATTCTTAAAAATATACGTTTATAGTCTTTGAAAAAAATATTCCAAAAAACTATGGATTTATGCCTTTCATAGTCCTTGAAAATTATTCTTAAAATTCATTATTATTCTTCAAAATTCACGTTTTATGGCTCTAATGCCCTTGAAAAAAAAAAATACTTAACCCAAGATTCATGGCTGTCAAGTCATTGACAAAAAATTAAAAAATCCTTTTTTTTTTTTTTGGGTTTGATAGTCTTTACAAAAATGTTCCTAAAAATCAAAGTTCTATGACCCGACAGTCTCCAAAAATATTCTTAAAAACCAAACTCTGTTGGCTCGGATAGTTTTTGGAAACATTTCTTAAAAAAAACAGTTCTCATGGCTCTGAAAGTCCTTAAAAATCAACGTTTTGTGATAGTCCTTGTAAGATATTTCAGAAGATCTACTTTTTATGGCTCTGATAGACCCTGAAAATAATTTCCTGAAAATCTATATTCTTAAAATCTAAAAGAGTAGTCTGATATCCTTGAAATAAAATCTTAAAAATCAACGTTTGATGGCTCTCTTAAAATATATTCCAAAAACCCCACGTTTTATGGGTCAAATAGACACAGAAAAATATTCCTAAAAATCCACTTTTTGTGACTCTTATAGTCTTTGAAAAAAATATTTTTTAAAATTTACGCGTCTCTTAGTCTTCTCTGATGCATCTCATAGGTTCTGATGTCCTTAGAAAAAAATATTCTTAAAAATCAAGTTTTATGGCTCTGATGTCCTTGAAAAAAATTATTTGTAAAAATCCACATTTCGGTCTTTATAGTCCATGAAAAAATGTTCCTAAAATCAAAGTCCATAGCCGCCATAATCTCCAAAAAATATTCCTAAAAATCAATTGCGGCTTCGACAGTGCCTAAACATTTTCTCTGATGGCCTTGAAAAAAAAATATTCCCAAAATTCACGTTTGATAGTTCTTATGGAATTAAAAAACAACATTTAAAAAATCCTTGTTGAAAAAGTTTTCTCTGATGAGGAACCCGCTCAACAGTCCTACACCGAAATCAATGACATATACAAATCGATCCCACTCTTCTTCTTCTTTTTACTTACCAATATTTAGATGGTAACACACCCTCCTCCCCGTATTCCCCTCTCTCACCAGCAACCAAAATTTCCAACATTTATTATTTATAACCCCCGCAGCGTTGTTGCCATTCATTTTCTATTCCATTGCTTTTTTTCTTTATTTTTTACAATAGAATACATTTGTTGTTCATTTGATTCATTCACAGCAGCAGCAAAATTGGAAATTCAATCATTCTGAAACAAAAAAAAAAAACAAAAAACAAAACTCCAACAAATAACTGTTTTCCTAGCCACTGGTCCTCTTCGATAAAATGTGGTCAGAATGCAGCAGCTACAGCAGCTGCTGTAAAA